AAGCAAACTTTTGCACCATAAACTTCCACTTTCTGTGTGCCTCTCAGTTCCTCCCTGTAGTAAAGATAGCGAAAATGAACTCACTGCGTGTGGTTATACTTGCACCTCAGCAGACGGATTTTGAAAATTCCTCAATTTACAAAGCTGATAATTCATGAGTTTATAAATACGCAGTAAGTAAAATACATGGAAGGCACAGGAAGTTCACAAAATTTTCGACAAAATTTGGTGAGTCAGCGAAGTTTCATTTTATTTGTCTCCAGTCAAAACGATGACCATGTAAAGCCAAACTTCGAGGAATCCGGCTTGGCAGTTCAGGGCTCGCAATCTGAAAATATTTACTTCTTTCACGAGGAGAAACAGAACCTAAGTAGTTCCTCAGATCTGGCAATTTTTTCAACAGCTACAGATGTGTCCCATAGCCAAAATACCACTTTGATTCGTATTTATTTCCTCAAGCTTTCAGCCTTTTTTTTTTCTACAATTTTTTTAGCTTCAAGTTAGCATTTGTGCTCTTTTGGCTGAATTATACACTCAGTATACACTCACCCACCTAAGTCCCTGGCGAAAGGTTGAGAGAGTTGCGACAGGTCCTTAACCCTCCGTCTCCTTTCCCCCCATCCCCCTCCTCGTCTGGATCCACCAATGATTGCAGTGGTACACATGCTGGTTAAAGTATTACAGGAAGTGTGTGGAGCACAAGGGCCGATGATGCAGTGGATAGCACGTCGCGTCCGGATGTGAAAACGAATGGTTTCAATAAAAAAAGGCGCTCTGTTCGCAACATTACATTAGATAATTCATTTCAGCTAGTTAAAATTTCAGAATGACCGACCGATGATTTGGCCATTCTACTCACTGGCCAGGAGCATTTTTCCCTGCTGTCAATGCACGGTATCGAAATATCCGTTCTTGCTGCAAAAACCACATAATAAAAAAAAAGGCCTGCGCAAATGGATGGATAAATAAATTTCAGGAAATGCTAATTTGGAAGAGCTTCAAATTTTTAAAAATCTTCGTAAATTTCTTACGGCTTGCAATAGTGTATGTTGCATTTCTGGGTCCAGACTGGTCGAGTATAGTCGCAGCACTTGAGTTTTGCTTTGGAGTACCATAAGCTCTATTCCTATTCAGTTTTGTAACGTCTAAAAAATCATGCTTTATTCAGATTATAGCGAACGCATCTGAGCTTTTTTTTTGTTATCGAAACGAAATACAGCAAAATCGCATCACCTGCTGCTGCGTCTTTAACGTGTTCATCCCTCTTCGTGGACAGCTTCACCAGCTTATCAAAATTTGCTTGATCCGTTAATGGCTTTTTTACTGTTGTGCTTGATAACTGCAATGGATGGAGCTCGTTCTGAAGCATCTGCCGTCCAGCTGGAGCCTGATTTCTTTGCCATCGAACCGGCGTCCGATTCGTCTGTCGTCCAAGTGGCACCTGATTAGTGCACCGTTCAATTAGCGCCTGAGGCATTTGTTGCCTGGGTTGTGCCTGGTA